AAATACAAGGTGTTCTAGAATGCATGACTTGCTTCTAAAGGTATAACACAGAATAAAATTCTGAGTCGAAAGTTCCTCGTCCCTTTTTTTCTCCAACCTATTTCTATACTATTAACGATATTAACGATATTAACGAAAAAGAGTAGACCAATAACGTATCATGTAGAACGGCTGCATGACAGTAGGCAGATACCAACGGTCCACTTTTTTTCATTAACAACTCTGTTAATAGTGTTCGAAGGAAAAAGTAGAAGTTTCAATTCAGAATTTCATCCTCAGAGGAAAGTCGTGCATTCTGCGACACCCTGCATAGCGCTATTCGATAAGAACCGATTCGTCTTCGAAAATCTATTTTCAGATTATCGAATAGAATGATTAGTCGCGGCAACGGGGACAATTGTGGTTTCCGCAAAGGCGTGATACGAAGAGATAATTAACAAATTAGATTAGCAGTTGTAGCGTCCATAGGCGTAAGACTAGAAAATTAATAAACATTAAGGATCTTCGTATTAGTAGAGTCTCTTATTTTTATCTCCACTTCTAATCCCACATATACGATTCTCAAAAGTGCAAAAATAGAAAACAGTAAGAATTCTATGTAAACTAACTTAAATGTACCTATAGCGAATTGAAGCACCTGGTTTTGATATGTCATTGTCCAACGTATAAAATAAACAGGTAAATATTTGCTACATAGAGTCACGTAAATGTAGAATTGTAACAATTAAAGAAAATGAATATCCTCGACATCAAGTAATAAACGAAGAAAATTATGTTCGTCCAAAACATGTTACATCGTCGTTCGTGCTAGCACTGTCACAGTCAGGGTCTTCTTGGAGCAGGCACTCCGGGAAACCAAGCGCTAAAGCATCTGGCCGCGACAATTCCTGCAGGTATGGATACAACGAGATCAGTTTGTACTGACTGATGCATTCGAATATCCATTCGTGGTCGATCGATATGGCTTTCGTTTCTTTGTACCACTCTATTAAAACGAAAGAAAAAAAACATGAGATTTCATGTATTCTCTCAAAACCTTTATAACGTTCTGTTATAATTGGATGTACAAATAAGTCTCCGCTGTTTGAAATCGGATAGCGCAACCAATAAGTTATGGCGGCTAGTGTCAGATGTAAGATGTCATATCGTAAGGTTGCACATTTGTCAACAATATAATATCGAAATTTTAGCGATTGTGTATCAGTGTCGTATACTTTCTCGTGCGAATATGTCCGATTTTGAGCCGAATAAACGTCATTTGCGGGAAATTCCGATTTACTTCTTTAACTTGAAGAAATATGCAGCTGAGGCGCATCCATTGCTTATGGCGCACATATGGTACGGTTGCATTAAGTGAGAGAAGTTGTCGTGAAGGGTTTCAAAAGTTTAAGAACGGTGAATTTGATGTCGAAGGCAAAGAACGTACTAGAAGGCCGAAAGTGTACGAAGACGTGGAATTGGAATCATTATTGAATGAAAACGAATGAAATCATTACTGGGGCTCTTTACCGCACTCAATTGATGAGATTGAGCCGAGCATTCAAGGAAAAACGTGCCCATTATTACTCCAGACACGACAAAATCATTCTTCTGCAAGATAATGCTCGTCCTCATATTGCAGCACCGGCCAAAACCTACTTGGAAACACTTAATTCGGAAGTTTTACACCACCCGCCGTGTTCACCAGATATTGCTCCTTTTGATTACTACTTGTTTCGATCGATGACGCATGTGTGTCGATTTATGGCTAGCATTAAAAGATGAAGCGTTCTTCCGACGCGGTATCCGGATGCTGCCAAAAAGATGGGAAAAAGTAGAGGCCAGCCCTGGACAGTACTTTGAATAAAACATAAGGTACCGTTCTTTCGCAATAAATGTCCAATTTAAGATGAAAAACGGCGGAAACTTATTTGTACTTCTACATAACAATTGGGAATGAACAAATATTGCTAGAAAGACGTAGAAATAAAACAGGAATGTCTACAATAAACTTGCAGAAAAAATATCACGAAAGAAAATAAATTCTATGTAAAATTGTTTTCAATTCCTATTCGAGTAAAACGTTAATAATTAATAGCAATATGTCACAGTATAATTACAATTTCCGTATATTATGGGCAGGAATTGCATTCTTCAATGACATATTTCTTACGAAAAGATCCGAACTGTTAAGCCCAATTATATTATTCTCAAAAGACTATTAAGAACTATTACAATTACGAACAAAATAATAGACTTACTGATGATTTCGTGCTCGTAAGTATCGGCCTGAACCACGATGATTTTCAGCTTTGTTTCAGTTACCAAAGCGTTTAATGATTCAACTACAGAGGCACCCGTGGCACGTAACAAGTCCTGGAACAGAAGAATTATCTTAAAACTTGGCGACCATGGAAGACTTTTTGAATCGTAGTGCCGCTTAGGAAACTATCCATGAAAACAAGCATTGTAAACAATTATAGGAAGCAAGCTAAAGAAACACGCCTAAAAATCAACCTAAGAAAGCAAGCACAAAAATTATCTTATAGCGCAGATATTTTACTTTATTCCTGCATATGTTCATTGTCTATCAAAGAATCTGACAAATATTCCTGCTATTTAATTGAAAGATCATACAATTTCACACAATCATATCATCAGGATCACACAATTTCAGCTACATATGTAACGGATCATATAATAAATCGTATAATAAATCAATCAATAAATTATATATAAAAAAACATGTTGGATTTTATTAGAATGGACGTGTGATGACAGACATCGTAATGACAACGAAGAATAGAAAATAAACATAGTTTTCAGAGAAGATTGAGCACAATACATTTCTAGGCGGCTTCCCACTTACATTCTAGTTAATTTGTATTATACATATATCCATATTGATGGGCTGGATTGTAATCAACGAAAACGAAAAAACGATCATAAACGAAAAAATAACGAAATATCACTAGAATCGATAGTATCCCAGATAAAACCCGAACAAAAAAAAAACTTTTACTTGGTATTGTTTCACAGAGATGTCCGTGTAAGGTCCGACGCAGAGAAACACGAACTGTTTGAACAAATCGGTATCCCTGAGTCTCGACCTCCGAGGTCCTGCCTCTAGGGTCCTGCAGTCCACCACTTCGTACTGCTCTTCATCCATCAACCTTTTCGCCTTAATCGAGTCGATTACCCATCGGTAGCTCACGATCCATTTACGATTGGCGATCCCTTGCAAGTACTTCAGAGTCTTATTCGCCCCGTTGTTCTCGTCCGTCATCACTACCACATGCGTCACCTCGCGCTCGAATTGCGACACGTATCTTGCGTTCACAGTTCGCGCCAGCCTCTCCACGTTCTCAATTTGAGAGGCCATCAGGCCGCTGCACGTAAAACAGAGACCCTGTCTTTTACCGCTTGGGTTGTTCTCAACATTGACTGCATTCTTTGTAGATTTATCCGTGTCTCTGATCGCCTTGAATGTAAGTCTTCGTAAGAAGCTCGTAGAATTCGTTGATTGAGGCGTTTTCGGAGTGCTCTGGCAGAGAGGTTGAATCCTTGTACTAGGTGGGGTAGTAAAGTTTGAAGAACTTTTGCCAGCCGTTGATGGGCTATTCGAGAATCTGAGGAGGATTGTTTTTGGTGTAGACATCACGATTTCTTGTTGCGAATTGGCCAGTTGCATGCTGTCAAGTTCAATAAAAAAAGAATTGTTTTAGTTATGTAAAATGAAAACGCAACATACCTAGACAGGTCTATGGGTCATTATATTAATTTTTGGACACAATACACTATTGCAATTAAATTATATTTAATAGAGAATAGATAAGATAAATGAAAACAAGAAAAACCATAATTTTAAGGAATTATCAGAATTACACATTTTAATTCTAATATTACAATAAAATAAAACACAATATAAAATAAATATAAAACTATGGAAGAAAAAGAGGTGAGCAAAGTAAAAGAATAATACAAATACAGTGACTGCTATTAATATTCATACCCATCCAAAACTGAATAACTTCTTTAATATTAATAATCCAAATAATTTAATATTCTACGTGAAGGTAAGTTATAATTCCCGCACGTGGACCCACATTCTTTTGTTCTCTGTGTGGACTTATAATAAAATATAGCGTGGCGCTGCTTGCGTTACTTTGACTCGGGAGATGTTAATACGTAGCATGTGTAAGTACATTTATTACAAGAATGTAATCTTTGTATTAATCGTATATTAAGGCTAGTGTTAAAAATATGGTTATCTTCCTCTCCTGCGCCTACATTGCGAGATGTTAGAAAGCTTAGTTTAATGGATAATGTATAACAAACAATTGAAAAAATTGATATTCGTCGAAGTCTCGAATAAAAAAGTAAAGGATATAATTTTGAATTATTATATTAGAACGAAGCACAAGAAGACAAGTGTCGCTCATACTTGAATTAGCTAGGAACATTAGAGTACATAGTATACAGTTGTAAAAGAGTAAAGACAGAAACAAAATTATCCGTGAGAGAAATGAGAGGAACAGAGCAAGGAGCAAAATGAATAAGAAAGATAGATCAATCAAGAAAGGGCATGCTAATCACAGGGTGTCCCAGAAAAAGTGTTAGAACCGAAGAGAGGTGATTCTATGTTTGTGAACAACAATTTCCTTTGCTAAAATGCAAAGTGATGCATGGCTTTTGAATTATTAATGGAAAACACTAACCAATGAGAGCGCGTGTAGGGCCCGCGCTATGCCACGGCCAAGCGTGTCGATCTGAGCCAATCTACCCACGTCTAAGCGCGGGCCCTACACGTGCTCTCATTAGTCACTGCTTTTCGTTAATAATTCAAAAACAATGGCTCACTTTGTATTTCACCAAAGGAAATCGTTATTCAGAAACACTTTCAGAATCACCCCTTTTCGGTTCTGACAGTTCTTCTGGGACACCCTGTATTCTCAAATATTATAATACCGTATGAAAACAATTAGATTGAGGCCTAGGTGGCGGTACAAGAGAAAAACATATCTGAATCAAGTGAAGAGTACTTTATGTTGGAATACAACGATAATCGATAATCTTGAGGCCCTTTTGCTTGACTGCCCACGCGAGGGTAGGGCGCACGAGCAACGTCGCCTTTTGTTCACTCCGAAAAAGACAGCCAGCCTAAGCGCATTAATGTTCAATAGCAACCAATCGTTTTTTACTATTAAACATAGGCACGCAGAAATTAAATAGTGGGTTATGTTGAACTATTACCTCTTTGTAGTATCGAATAAAGTGTATACTGCATAAAGTGTCTATAGCTTGAAAAAATTCATTATCTGAGAAGACATTTCCAACACTTTATAAGAATTACTAGCAGTAGTGTTGGAAATGGGTTCAAAACAATAATGATGAACAAATATGAAATTATTAATTTTTTAATCAATTTTTCATTGAAAAACTAACAGTTAGTTTAAAAATACTTAAAAAGCGGTGAAAATATGCATTATTACTGATAGCGAGTACCTTCGCCATTATTGATCCCGTTAAAATTAGGGAAGAGAATTGAAGAAGTGTAGAAACTCGAAGGCAGAACATAACTTCAAACTTTCTAGTGAAAGACTGCCATCAAAATAGAAATCAACATACCAACAAGAGTGGGGTCTGTGCCACAGAAATGTGTACAAGCGCGAAGACAGCCAAAGGTAAGTTAGGTTAGGGGTATTAAAAATATCTAATGAAGAGACTACAATGGATAGAGATAATGGCTCGAGCATGGACTTTCGGTATATGGAAACGTAGAATTAAAGCAAGGTATGATAGCTATTATGGAAGAAGCGGGAGACCGAAGATTATATTTCAATAACAGAACAAATATGGGAGAAAAACGCGAGAAACTAAGAACGAGGATTAAGTCACTTGACGAGAAGGAATATCAGAGAGAGAGAGAGAGAAATATAAAGAATAAAAAATTACTTATTAAAATAATGTAAGTTGAAGCGAAAATTGCAAGTGCATATTAAGTTAAAGCAAAGAATAATAAAAAAATGATAGCAACAAGAATAGGTTCGTGAGATGAGATTATGCAATGTTTACATGATAAAATAAGTATCTATCCAAAATGTATTTTCTTACTATCATAAATGTTTAATTTTGCATAAAAAATCGCAGCTTGGTAATAAATATTCGTACTTTATATTTATTAATTTTGAATAAATAACAAAGTTTGACTATAATAATAAAGTGGACCATTATAACAAATGGAGAAAAATTCGTGTTACTTACTTTTTTTTCTTCGCGTCAGGAGTATTCTCGATAATTTCGCCATCGTCGTCTTCAACTTCGTGTTCAACGTCCTGAATATTACAAACCACAGAATAAGTGTTATTTATTTTATGACTAGCTAAATGAATAGCGCGAATTGCGCCGTAATGAACGCAAATTAATTATTAAGTATAATTGAATGTCACTATCGTCAAGTTACGATCGAAATGTTTAATAATAAATTAATTGTGTTCTACCGAGCACAAAATACAATGTACAAAATATGTTTAAATAGATACATCGTTAAAAGTTGAATCAAGTTATTAAAATTGATTTGAAATATTAGCAAATACACAATATTTATATTTATATTTATAAAATGAAATAACGACACAATTAATAAAATTGCACATAAGATACACAGATACAGATTTTTTAATTGCTACATTAACAATTAACGATTACATTTCTCTAAATCTCAATCGCTGATGGGAGTATTCTTTAATCAAAAATTAAAATTCAATCACCAATACGAATTTTTGTTATTAAATTAATTAAATAATTTTCATTCTCAATTAGTCAAATGCGAATCAAAAAGCAAACGTTAATTGCCCATTGGTGTACAATTGAATTAAAGATTCAATCGTTTATCTGTCAACCCTAATAAGATAATTAAAACAGTAAGTTACCTTCTGATTTGTACTCGATTTCTGATTTCTCTTCAATTTCTGCGGAGTACCTAGTTGCCATCCGAAAGTGAGCTTCGAACTCAAAGATTTCCCGAGCAAGTCCTCTTCGAACTGTTGCAGCATTAAATAATCTTCCGTGACATTCACAAAGGAATCGTTCTCGAAAGAATCTTTGACAATTTCATTTGGTCCACTCAAATTTTGATTTGCCGAATCATTTGCATGAATCTTTATCGATGTCTTACTTGTGGAAGCAACAGGGTCAACATTCTCCTCTATCGTACTGTTCTTCGCTATTTTAATTCTACCTGTACTCATCATAAAGTCGTTCTCTTTATCCGAGTTACTGTTCTCATTAGAACGTGTTATAGACGGTTTTCTTTTCTTGCAAACTGACTCATTCTTTTTATTAATTTCCTCATACATTTCTTCATCCACGATCAAGTCTGCAGTGTTCACATTCGCGAAAGCCTCATCAAAAGTGTCCTGCATAAAACACTGATTGGTATTCTCTTTAGAAACGACTCCCTTGTTTTTTATGTCCTTCACTTTATCAATCGTTGAGCCAAAATCAGGCGAGTCCTCATCAAGAACGATCTTCTTTTTCCCTTGTGACTCACTGGAATTACATTTCTGGTTGCTGCGATTATCCGCGAAATCGGCTAATTTTTGTGGAAGGCTAGACAGTTTGCTAGAATTTTTATTACAATTTGTTGAGAAAGATTTGTCTTTGGCTTCGTTAGACGCCTTAGCTGAGTCAGAAACTTCACATTTTCCTATGTATTTATCGTTAGGAACGCTTGTGCACCAATTTTCGATTACACTCAAATCCATTTCGTCGTCGCTATCGGACAAAACGGCTCGTTTTCGCTTATTCGAAGAGCTGGACTGATTATTAAGAAGTTTGGGAACACCGCTGGGGGAGCCCGAATCCGAAGCTAATGGTAAGATCCTCCTGTATTGTTTTTTCCCACCGATTAATGCTGAGTTGTCAGAATTATCCTTCATAGCAGAAATCTTGTTCCTGAAAGTAGACATTGCTTGTTCACTAGGCTTGCTTAATTCAGGACTTGTTTCTCGACTGTTTACCCTCTTTCGTTTTCGATGAGAGGAAAGCTTTGGACGGACTGAAGAAGAATTCGAGGAACAAACACATTCTTCTTCAGTTTGAATTTTGCTTTTCTTGGGAGTTTCGGAAGGATTATAAGAGTTATTTGTCTTGACATTGTCGTATTCGTTCATGGGACTTCCCAAGCTGAGAAACTGTAGCTGTGAGTCATCCATTGGAGAAAACATTCTGACTCTGGTAAGCGATGTAGTTTCCTGTGCTTCCTTCGTCTCTTCATTAACGTCCAAACTTATAAGCAACACGTTCGAATCCTGACTTCTTCCTGGGACGTTTGAAATTTCTTTCGACATACATGGTTTAGTATTTTTATCCGATTCCTTGGATTGCTCGTTCTTCATTTCTTTAATGTCTGTAATATTTTCAACTTCTTCATCAATCGGCGTGTTGTTCACCGTGACTGAAATACTCTTTCCAAACCCCTTTACAGAATTCACAGGTACCACGCACATTTCGGTCTCTAACTGGACGGTTTCGACATTGTCGCATACACAATTTTTCCGAACTTTTTCTATTCCATAAATGCAAGGTATGATTGCTTTTCGTCTAGTCGATCCTAAATACAAGAACCTAATACTTTTCTTGTATTGCTTAAAAGTCTTTCCCAGCTTTTTGAACGTGACTACCGGCCTGTTCTGTTTCTTGTTGTTCCTCGTAAGCGCTTTCGGAGAAGTGACTGGATTTGTAAACAATCCACGACTCTCTTTACCGACTTCTAAAGAACACTTTCCTTCAATTATGCGATCCACACTCTCGGTAGCATTAGCATTTCCTTTATTTTGATCAATCTGAATCAAGTCCGATTTCACAGTCTGCAACCGCGAATCAACATTAGCTGTAGGAGATTCGCTCAATTTCGTGTTAATAGATCTCTTCTTAGCATTAGTATTTCCCTCATTCTGATCAATCTGACGACTGAAGTCCGATTTAACAGTCTGCAAATGCGAATCAATGCTAGTTGCAGGAGATTCGCTTAATTTCGTCTCGACAGATCTTTCCTTAGCATTAGTATTTACTTCATTCTGATCAATCTGACGACTGAAGTCCGATTTCACAGTCTGCAACTGCGATTCAACGCTACCTCTTGTAAAAGATTCGCTCAACTTAGTCTTGGCAGATTTTTTCAAGGATAATTGCTCACTCAATGGGATTTGTGCAAAGAGCGTCTCATCTAACATACTCGGAGATAAAGTAGTTCTCTCATTGTATACCTCATTACTTGGAATTTGATTCCCACTATCTATGATAATAGTATCGCTGCTGGAATTCAATGCAAATTGTTTATCGGATGGCGCGATGCCGATGATATCGGTCATTTGGTTGTTGTTCAAATTCCCAATGTGCACCCTTTCACCTTCCAATGTGATAAAGGACGCGTTGTGCTGCTCATTTCCTTCTATCGATATGTCTTCGCTTTTTATAGGTGATTCTTTTTGAACGACAGTCTGCTCTTTTAATGAACGTTCCTTCTCTGGGACAATAATCATCGGCTTGCATTCAAACGAATCGGACCGGTTTTGCCTTCTTTCAGACTTCCGATCATTTTTCTCTAGCGACTTCGCAGTCTCTTTTTTTCTTGTATCGTTTAATGATCGAGATCTTGCTTTTTCGATGCTCACGTTCAATGCTTTGAATTTTTTCTTCTTCGTTCGCATCTTCTTACCGAGTTGCACGACCGAGGTCCAGTTATCTTTCAGAGAAGTTCTGTGAACCTCCTGTTTTTTTTCTTTAGCATCATCGTGCGATTTTTTTATGCCAGACGGGCCCGGCTTTGGGCTTCCTGCTTCGAAATGGTACGTTTCCAGTAGATACTTCGTAAATGCTCCTATTTCAGGTTTACCACTACCTTCATCACATGATTCATTTCTATCTCTTTCTTGGTCATTCAAAGACCTTTTATCTACAATCAGAGTTTCGATATCGTCCATATCAAAGGACTTTGCTTTATTATCACCCAAATTCTGCGAAACTGAGATTCGAAGAGGGTTGACTGAGTTGTCTGCAGTTACCAAAATTGGAGTGTCTCTGTTAACGTACAGATCTTCGGTATCTGGTAGACATTTCAGCCAGGTCTGCACTTTTTCTTCTGTTGACGTTTCGCTTCGACAATAATCGGTCGACTTCTCAGAAACAAACAACTCCGCGCCAGAAACACCGCGATTCGACAAATACTTCTTGATACTGTCGTCTTGTCCTATTTTCCTCTTCTCCTTTGGTACGTTTCGTGATCGGTCCTGTTGATTCGATCGCAGCTTCAGTTGTCCTTTTTCTAAGCTGCTGTTGATATAAGAGCAACTCGGGATTCCTTCATTGCTATAGATCTTTGGTGGTTCCACTTCTCGCGTGTTGTATGACCTGCCTAAGCACGACATTACTGAAAAAAATATTTGTATTTGTTCCAGAACGAAGTTTGTGCAAGCGATAAAATTTTAGTTATTATCAAATTGGATGTTTCAATGATGGCATAGGGCAAAAAAAAACTTTTGTCGAGGTGTCAGAACAATGCGGAGTGCTTTTGTATACTTTTGAAGTCTTCATTCAAAAAACAGTTTCACAATTGCCTTATTAGATCTAGTTTTTGATATACAAGACGTCTTAGTCAATTTTGACATCTTTATTTTCTTGCTATTCTTGCTCGTAGCCAAAGATGTTTCATAGAAGATTTGAATGGTATCGAGTGGGGCATATTTTGGTGTTATTAGTTTTTTCGTAAATAGGCGCGTCAAAGTCATACGATGGCCAACTTTGTTTTTCAGATAGAATGAGGTATTTTTTTATACTTTACTTTTATATTTTATTGATACATTACATGAAGTATTGTATTAAATATTGTATGAATTTGAAGTACAATATTTACAATCGTCAATCTACGATATGTAAATGAGTATTGGAATTAACAAAAATAATTTATAAGTATGCTACATTGAGTGGACTGGATGTGTAAACCCGGACGACTTCAATAGGATTTGAGAAACTGCGTTACTTTAAACTTTAAAAGCTTGAAAGGTTGTTATTACTGAATCCGGATGTTTCGATCTGTTCGTGATCGCTCTATTCCTCCGAATAAAGAGGATGTATCATAAAAGTTTTAAATCTTCATTATTTATTGATACAGATTCCGATATTCACTAGATGCAATAGCGCGGACTAGGTATATAAAAAAGAATCTGTTCCCCGTGCTGATTTCTTCTCTCGATCGTCCATATTAGAACATAGAGCATGCACTTTCTTATTCAGTACATTACTCTTAGTTTATTCAGTTAACATTCATAGATATGATTATGTATATTCATTTAGTACAGGCATGGGCAAATCATTTTTCCCCACACTAGTCGCTCTCCCCACTATTCGTAAATGTAGACACGCGCCTGTACGTTACATAGCGTCAAGCATCCCCACCATAGCCATCGTGGCTCCCGAGAGCCACTTTTGCCCATGCCTGATTTAATAGGTCATTGAATTCGCCTTGATATGGGCTGTAATACTGCTAAATCAGAAATGTACAGTGCTATTTAAAAAACTGAAGGTGACCTTGACAATTATTGGAAAAAAAATTTTCGAATATTTTCTTAAATCGCATTGTATAGCCAACCGTAAATTGATCAACTTTTATTTAAAATATTTTTTTGTCAAATTATCGCAACTACTTGAAAAATCGTGACTAACGTTATGTGGGACACCCTGTATATATTCATTAGTCTAATTGGCTCATTATTTCATAATTACATTTATTGTTTTACGTCTCATTTGATTTCAAATTTTTCTGCGCGGCTGCCTGGTTTAAATTCAAATTGCCAGCAAGTTATGAGTCCAGGCACTAACTAAAAGCGACGGTGAAATTAACTTATTGTTAGGGTCAGTTTCGCGTTTGAATGTGCGAATGATCGAAATGGATAACGAAACGAATAAGTCGAAACGGAACATTAAGCCATTTGAAGGGGACAAATACAGCATTTGGAAATTCCATGTGCATGCGTTAATAGCAGAAGAAGATGCCATAAGAGTCCTCGACTGTTAGAGTATGTAATCTTTGTTCCGTATATTCTATGGATGCACCTTTTTCGGTAGATGTCCCATCTACAGATTTGTGTTGTGCATGTATGCCTATAGCATGAAACATGCGCTGTTGAATAATTAAAGTGGATCTAAGCTCATTTCTATATACATGTGTCATCCATTTAACTAAACCCGTAATTACATCAGGTATAGGTGTGTCATCCATTTAATTAAACCCGTAATTACATCAGGTATATGTGTGTCATCAATTTAATTAAGCCCGTAATTACATCAGATTATAGGCCCAGACCTGTTCATAGCACCTTATTTGTGGGAAATTAAATGGATTTATTTTGTATAATACACATTTGATGAAAGAAGTTACACAACCGCGTGTCGAGTAAAAATGTCGATGGAAAACGCAAGCATGTGAGGAACTGACGGCCAGCACATGCCACAAATTAAAAGCTTAAATATTAACAATATTGAAAAGCTTCCTGGTTCGGAGAATTGCAAAAATTGAAGTTTTCTTATGAGAATGATGCTGATCTGATGATGCAGATGCTTGGAAGTGTGTAGTGAATTCACTACACACAATATTCCAATGAAACGCATGATCAGTTAGCACTGGCTAGCATTTGCCTAATGTTATTATTAACCCTTGAGCGCCGCATATATGCGGCATCGAAATGAAGTGTATACAAATGCCATCTATAGTCGATGGCAACATTTTTCGTTCCCGGCAGAAATTATTCTGTTGATTTTATTGATATATTGGATTAATCATTTTTTAAAAGTGCTCTTTTTCAAACCACATCCAAACGTATTACGCCATACACGGCAAAGATCAAACCGATCGTTTACTGTTTTATATCAAATATTCTATAGAATCCATTCAACAGTAAACGATTTTTCATATTCGGTTTTTATAGGAATTAGGAATAGATCGGCTTAAGGTATAATTCTTAACTTTTAAAAGTTATAATTTTCAGGTTAGGGTTTTGTTTGAAAATAAATTTACAAAAATAGTTTAGGCCCTTTCAGAATGAATACAAAGCATAAAAAGGTATTTTGTTTGAAACTGAGGTAACCGATTCTAAAAATGAAAATAATGTCCACCGGTGTAAAAGACAACGGAGAAATATATGCAGCACATCAGAATCAGATGCAGAGTTAATTGAAGATAATACCAAGGACACTCAGTGCAACGCAACATGGACATCGAAAAATTTCACACCAAAGATTCATCAATTTTCCTCAAAAAATTCAGGATTGAAAAAGAAAATAGGAAGATCCTCAAAAATTATCGATTACTTTGAATTATTCATTCATCAATATCTCGTAGAATATATTGTAGAAGACATCAATTATTACTCGGCTCAAAAGAGCAATAACAACATGGACACTCAAAAAATCACGACACTAGAGGAAATGTACTGTTTCTTTGCGTTGTCATTACTCATGACACGTAATAAAAGACTCACGAGTATTGGAGTACAGATAAATATTTACGCAGTAGTATTCTTAGCGAAATAATGACCAGAGATCGGTATCTTTGGATACTACAGATGATACATTTCACCCGTCAACAAGGGCGCGCTGATGATCGTCTACATAAAATAAGCGATATAATAAACATGCTGCGAAAATCGTTCTGCAACACATTTTAACCGTATGAAAAAGTTTGCAATGATGAAAGCTTGATGTTATACAAAGGTTGCTTGTCATTCAAGCAGTACATTCCCTCTAAAAGAAATCGATTTGGAATAAAATCATACATACTCTGTGATTGCAAAACAGGCTATGTCCAAGACCTTATAGTTTACGAAAGAAGGTTAACTATTACAGAAAGTGACATCAACGGAATTGGAAAATCAGATCCAATTGTTTTATCACTCTTGAATCCGTACTTAGGCTAAGGTCACACATTATACACAGACAATTTTTATTCAAGTCCAGCGTTATTTAACTTTTTGCACGATAATTACGAATGCATGTGGCACTGTGAAAAAAAGACGTCAAGGAATGCCGAAGATGGAAGAGCGAAAAAAGGAGAGACATCTCGTGCAACAAAAAACTTGTTAGTGATGAAGTGGATGGATCAAAAAGAAGTACATATGATTTCCACTATGCATACTGTAAATTTTGAAGCAGTATCAAAATATGGAGGGGAACAGAGTGTCCAAAAGCCTCTACGTGTAACAGATTATAATAAGTCAATGGGAATTGTAGACAAGGTGGACATGATACCGAGTACCGTAAATTCAACGCGTAAATTACTGAAGTGGTATCGCAAATTTTTGTTCCACCTCATGGACATTTGTGTGTGGAATGCATATTGTATGTACAAACATAATCGGAAAGGAACCACATCCATGTCAAAATTTCATTTGGCGTTGATAAAACAGATAATCGAAAAGTATCATCACAATTCAACGGGACGTCAAGGAAGACCCGCTGATAATCCGATGAAGTTAACCGACAGACATTTTCCCACATTCTGTAAGCCGAAAAACAGAAGAGGAAGATGTGCAATTTGTAGCAAAAATGAAAAAAGAACGGATTCGCGGTATGAGTGCAAAGATTGTGATGTTGGCTTTTGTATAGATCCTTGCTTTTAAATATATCACAC